TTACCAATGTCTCTTCCATTACGTATAATCACCACTTGATGAACTTTACCTGGAAATATAGTCACTTTTGTACTGAAGAAAAGAGAGGTGCCATTACTATTCTTCAACACGTCACTGGCAAGAGTCCAAAAAACAACGATAAATAAAAACAAATGAAATAATTAACACGTTTTCTGTAAAACTACTTAAACAGATACATATAGAAAGATCGGTTGAGTGATATCGTACGCGCGATTAAGTCTCATTGACTGGTTAAACTGCATGTATATGCAATACCTCAAAGAAAAAAAAATCACGTATATGGTTTCTAGATGTTTTTTCCGGGTTATGATGTCAGCATTCGCAACTGGAGGACCGTTACGACTTAAAAAGGTCGTCAAAACCAGTAAACAGTACATATAAAGGTAAAAAAAAACAGAAAGCCTACAAACATATTAGTTTGGGAATGCAGGTTTTCATTCGCCGACGTACAGAAAATGTACGTAAAATTAAAGTAAAAATTTTAAGCCTATAACTATAAAGATCTTAAATAAACACCGCTCGTATCTATCATTACTAGCACACAACGTCTTTCGAAAACTGTGGCTGTTACCATGAAGAAGTATGTGACCTCCATGTTTATAAACCAAAACTGTTTGAATAGGTGATGCGTCACACCCCAGCTATAATTATGACAGTCATCCGAACTGCACTAGGCAAAGTTGGGAGTCACAACTACGCCTGTGGACCAAATGCTCTGCTATTAAAACATCTTGTGGCACTTGAAACTGGAGGGCTCGTGAAAATAAAGGATCAACTGTGATATGTAGACAAAAGTGGGGTATTCAAAGTGGCTCAAACCTGCAACGGGCGTCAGTAATGGCCATGCGCCAATTGTTCAGGACTCCTATTTAGTGAGTTTTATGTTTGGATACAAACTCCTCCAGTTAACCCTTTTAAGAGGTCAATACTCACGAAAATGTTGAATACATAACGAATGAAGAGGAAATAAGTTTTAATTTGATGTAAGTCCAAAACGCCTTGGAGGGCGTTGTCTTAGCTTTTTTGACGTTTTGGTACCTGTCAAGTTACCCCATGATGTTTGGATCAACTTTGTCGGTGTTGAAGCTGTTCCATCGTGTAATCATGGGCTGAGATTTTTTGTTGCACGTAGGGGTATGATTTCTGAAAGGTCATCCTTCCGCAGAGAGTGATACAGCAGGGTAAAATGTCCCACTTCGATTAGGGGAGGCTACGGGTGTGCAAAACTTTCAGCAACTCGAAAAGTGGGGGACACGATTATATTGGTAATCCCCCGGTCAAAAAGTGCGTGGGGGAGGAATATCCCCTCCCCCGATCTCCGCCGTAGCATGTAATTGGACTGTGCAAGTCGGAGTGAGGCGTAAATCCGTGCCGAAAATTTGGGGGATGGGGGTGCAATGGAGAAAGGGGGGATGACTTTCACGGCCATGAATCTGAAAAGCAGGGGAGGGATGACACCATATGACTCTATGTAGAGGTAGATGTTCATGATGTTGATGTACATCTCTAATTTGTATTCAGAAATGCGTATTTATGGCTTTTAAAATTGTTTTCCCTTTTTTAAGTGACATTGAACGCATTTTATTGTCGTTGGGAGGTCTGAAAAAGTATTTACAATCTGCTTTAATTATTTGCTCACCAGGAAAGTGGGGGAGGGGTATATTTACGCCAATGAAAGTCAGTAGTCTGGGGTATTGCCACTAGTTGTGGCGTAAACACAACTATAACTAGTGTATAAGGCTTAGAGCGATCGTGAAAAATAGCCAGATTCCGCGAGTACACTCTCACAAAAAACACTAAAGCAAACTTGATTGCTGCGGTAAAGCCAGTTGCCCAAAGGGCAAAAAAGAACTGCATCGCAAACATCTCAGCAATTGCGCGGGGATCGCGCAACTAACCTTAGAAGGCGCAGTGGGTGTGTGAGCTATGGCCGGGGTTGCCCGGACCTAAGTTCTCCACAGCCTCCATGTCTCCACACTTATCCATCCAGGCAGTGTGTGAGGACTCGTCAAAGACCTGTAGGTCCACTGCGGTACCCTGATAGTGGTGAGATGTGTTGGAGTGACAAGCACCGGCAAGGGAATTGACCTGGAGACAGAGAAGAAATGTTTAGCGCATGTCTTTGGACATTATTTTGCTGTTCGCGGCGTAAATGACCACGTAGCCTACCGGTGGAGTCAGATCCCGCATCAAACAAATAATAGTCATCTGATGAATGGTCTAAGATTGATTAATCTACTTTTCTGAAGGCCAGCGTGACAATAACAAGCCTTTGCTTTTTCCGTTCCGGATAATAATGACTTTTTGTATTCTGTGTATTCCTTATGTCTCTGATTAATTTATCGCTAGCACAGGTTTCAAAACCAGCCCTACACTTAAAACTATAGATTAGTTAAAACGGCTACCAATCTAATAGGTTGACCCCATCTTGTGTTTGACTAACTTGATGACTAAGTTTCAATACAACTGATGCATTGGTTACCCTTCAAACAATCATGCTGGTTGAGTGCACACCAAGAAATCAACAGATCCACCGGTCATTAAAGGTTTCCAAAGATATGAAAATTTAGCTGTCTGCATTTAAGCTACTGATCATTATAGTAAAAGTAAATATTTGCATGTTTTATTATGTATGATGATGGTTTAGCCAGCAATTACAGATCAATTTTTCGCACTCGATAATGCAGGGGACAGTGACTGAAAAAATGTGAAGCAGTACTCGTGCTGCGCAACTGTATTTTTGGTTGACACTGTTCACTAATTACGTCCTTTTTTAATAAAACTAAGTTATAAACATATCACCTAATACACATTATCGTCCATATCCTTTTGCAAGTTCAAATTTACTGAGGAATATACTTGATTTTCATTTTGAATGTAGATTATTTTTCTTCAATCATACCCCCATTTTCGTGTGTGTTACAAGATGATTTACTTATTTTTGAAACATTTCGGCGACAGTTCTCGACCCTCTTACGGATAAACTCGAGAAATTGTGTCAAACCAAATTATTTGCAACTTTTAAAATGTTCTTTTTTTAGGGGCGTTTGAATTTTTCACAATTTCCCGTTCTCTGCCAGTTGGCCTCAATAATGCTGCAAAAAAGGTAGAAATGATCCACTGGAAGACAAGCAACAAACTTATTATTTTTGACGAACACGTTGACCACGGTCCCCCCCCCCCATAGTTTCCATACTAATTTGCCATTTGAGCGGTTTGCCAATGACTTCTCTTAAAACGAGATCTTTCATGAAATATGGCCTATATAAGTATTTTATGCACATACATGGGCACAGCAAATACTGATTTGTAAGCAAAGTGTCGAAACAGTTTTCATGCACAAAGCAATGCCGAGAACGTTTTATGTGCAACTCATTGCTTGATGATAGGAGTGATAACCTTTTGAAGCCTAGCAGCCGTCGTGGTACCGGTATTGCGCGGAGGATTAACAGGAGGGACTGCTGTTCTAACCCTAAAAGAGCTTTTTTCCCCATCTTACAGTCAGAGGCCCTTATTAAAGTCCGCTGTGCTGCACTCGATTTTTGTTTAAAACCCTTAGTAGTCAAAAGTGTGTTGTTTTTTTGTTCCGGTCATTTGAAGTTCAAGGCTATGTGCCAACCGGCGTGCATGGCGCACCGCAGTGGAAAAAATTATACATTTTGGCTGACGTGTCAAAACGGTATGTTCAATTTTCGCAATATTTGTGTCAAAATGACTGCAAAGAGCTACTCTAAAAACTCCTAAAAGCTCAATTCCTGAAAAAAATGCACTGCAGCGATATCAGAAAAAAAATGTCGAGGGGGGCGGCCCTTTTAGGGTAAATAGCTAAGGGTTTGCGGTTTCAAACTCGGCTCCGGACTTTTTTGTGAAACAAAGATTTAGTTTTTTAACCTCTTCACGGATTGCGAGAGGTTTGTGTTTTTGACAGGAAACAAGAAATACAACAACCTGTTCAGTCACCAAAAATACATGTAATACACAGCGATGATGTACTGCGCAAGTACAAAAGTCATTCGCATGTCGTTGCTAACGGCCGGGCTGTAAAGGCCCTATACACGGACTGACCCAAATTTGAGATTGTGGTGGGAAAGAATATTTTGCTGAACTTTCTGTTTTCTGAAACGACATACAGGTACACTGTAATTATATACAACGGTACATTTTAAGACTTTAGTAAGTTTTGTTCTAATACACGTGAGATTTCTACGCGTAATGTTCCTTATAACTCCCAGATGGATTACAAAAGAAATGATTCTCCAAACCTGAATGCTGTGGGTCTCGTTCGCCAGCGCAAGTACGTATTGCAACACCTTTTCACTCAGACAGATCGAGCCTCCAGGTGAGCATCCCGCTTTACAACAGTAGCTGGGGAAGAAAATAAGGATACCTTAAAATCAATTTGCAGTAGCTAAAGCCCAAGTTTCGAAGAGAGGGCATTATGGGGAGTCGTTCACTGGAGAACTTCGTGTTTTTTGGTAATGAGCCCAAACTAGACCAAGAGTGGGCGCAACTTCCGTAGCAACAGAGGCTCGTTTGGTAACTGCACTTCAGTGGCTCACAAATTATTGTGGAATGCGCTTTACCTTCGCGTCGCCACTAGAAAAATGAACACTCCCAACCAACATGGCTCTTTTTAAAGCGATGAGATGATACTTCTTCTCAAGGTGAATAGCGTCAAACAATTGTTAACTTTCACCAGTTGAGGACACAAAAGTCAAGAGGACACGGCAGTCGAGGGGGCATGACGGTTGAGCGAAAGCTGAAGTTGAATGGCCAGCACATCAACCCTATATTGTGGATTGATAAGACCCATGGGTTCGTGAACTGCACAGTTTGGGCGGGGGTTGTACCTTGACCTGCGAGCTTTCCCACCGTTGCAAGTGTCCTGGATGTTGGATTTGGCATCCGCTCCATCATTGACCCCGGAGGGGTTGACGGTAAGCAGAGTAATATGGCTGTTACTCTGGACCTCGCAGGCCAGCCTCTTGACGTCTAAACTGCAATTGCCTGAAGATATAACAAAGCGTTTATGAATTTCATCGACAGATTCGTGTAATATCGTTCCCTTCAGTTGTGTATCCAGGTTTTGGAATTTTGGGCATGGTATTTTGTCTATTAAAACGCTGTAATTTTATTTCTAATCCGTAAATGCGTGCTCACCACCCCCTCCCCCGAAAGGCGGTGGTACCTGTTCGAAAGTGTTACTGCCTTTGATTCCTTCTAAAAGAAAGAAGTAATATATTAATAACAATAATAATAATAATGATTTGAAAAAAAAATGGCAACCTGTCTCCCAGCACCCTCTGGATATGTCTCCTCCCTTTGCAAAAGAGCCCTTATGGTTAAAATGAAATGAGACAATGAGGAAGCAGCAGCAAAGCAAAGCTGGCCAGGTTGTTGGTGCAGTAAAAGGTGCACCTCTCTATGGGGCTAATTATGTCATTTTGAAGAAAAGATTAATTACACTTCAACACATGGACGCTCCTGAACAATAAACACGTTTCTTTACTGTAAACTGTGGACGCCCATGAACCGTAGGCCTACAAACAAAATAATTAGGCCTGTGTTTACTGCAAGCCGGCGCCCATGTGCTTTTCTCCCTCGTGTTGCTGTTTGCGACCTCTACGGGCCAAGGATACATATCTGGTTATTAAGAGCACGTTATTGTGCTGAACAGTAACAGAGGTTGCTGAGTACTTACACAGCTTTACTCTGAGTACTTTGTATTAAGACCCTGTTTTTCCAAATAGTGTGCCTGGAAACGGATTGACCATCGTGCGTCAGTCTTACCCATGTGCCTGCAAGTGTTTATATCAGCATTACTTAATGGGAATAAAATTAGGGTGGCTTTAAAGGTTAAACGCCTGGCAGCGGTGATGGACAGGACCAAAGGTGAAAAATATCCCCAATTCAGAAAATTTGAAACTTATCCAGCTCTATGAGAGTACCAAAGTGCGACTTCACTGTGAACCAGAAAGTGTAGTGCAAACGGCTGTAGTACGCTGGTTCTCACACTGTTATCTTTTACACTAATAATAAAATTGTGTGTGTGACGTATTCACTTCGGTCCTCTCTAACGTACTTATGTTCAGCGCTCAAAGTTTTATTTCCTGCCTTTGCATCACTCATTATTAATATATTCCATTCTTGTTGCAAACATTGTATTTTTGGAAATTTCCTTCCTCATGGATTGCATCCGGCACAAGTTCCATAAAGAACTTGTCTGCAAACTGTTTTTAAGAGGGTCCCGTATATTCTTCCTCAATTACCTAACACTGCCAACACTCCATTGAGGACACCCGCACCAAACTCAACGGTTAATGAATCAATGTACATGTACATCAAACTAGTTCAAGTTTGCGTTGACCTTTAATGACCCTTTGAAAAAAAATCGAGAAACCGAGGTCTTTATTTTTATCTTTATGCTTCGGGCATGGGCATTGTAATGTACATTATGCACATCACAAAGAACAATGGACGATTATAATGCTTATGGTTGTAGCAGATGGGAGGGGTGGGGCAGCCACTCGCAAGGGGATCGGCCCCTCAGTCACAGGCCTGATGACTAAGGAGCCGATCTCAGCATGTACAGTGCATCTGAGCACAATTAAATGGAATTTACACTTATTAAATTACTTACAACCGCTAGGGAAATCCGAGCAGCAATCGGACGCCTCACGACAGTAGTCATCGCAGAAACAGAACGCTCCGGGGGGCGCGCACTCATCGTTACGGCCGGGGCAGCAGCCCCCTGGCCGCTCCGAGCAATGCTGGGCCCAGGCGATCACGATCACAACAGCTAGTATGACACCAAGAATTCCGTGCATGGCGATCTCAGTGGTTGAATTCTGCTTAATATGGCGATCGAGTGTGTTTGCCAGATATCTGCAAACGTTAAAGTCAGTTATCGAATTAATCAAAGCGGAATACTTAATCAGACGCAAACTGCCTGATTAAAAAAATGCCATATACCAGTTTCCCGAACGTTTAAAAGCAATGATTCGCAGAGGCATAAACTTTGGCAAATGCTTTAAATAAAAATTTGCTGACTTTAAACTATGGTGGGTACGAGGTTAATATGAGTCTAGACAACACGGTGAATGCTTACCGTGCTGAAGAGTTTTAAGAATGCTGTAATAGGACTCGAAAGCAGCATAATATGCAATTCTGTTTCGCCTCCTTATATAGGCCAGATTGCCCAGGACCAGGAACTAACGCGATATTATTATTGTCGTGTACGTGACAAACGCGGTGAAATGGACAACTTCAGCATATTACCGTCACGGTGCAAAGGAAGGAGCTGAAGACATGAACGTCGCGGGGGGGGGTTGGAATGCAGCAGATTGTTGCCTAGAAAAGGAAACAGAGAAAACAAAAGAAAAACCGAAAGAACCAAAGAAAAGGGAGAGGGCATTAAAATCACGAATTTCCTTGCAAACACTTTTGAACAGACTTTTTTCCTTAAAATTGGTTTGCTGCTGATCCGTGCTTTGCCTCTACCCCCATCAGTGGTGGTGAGCACACTTCTGGGGGAACCCGCGGCATGTACCCATTTTGTCTGGCAATAAACTAGGGCTATTGAATATATTTTGCACATTCCAAAACGTCAAAGGGGTCACCTGGGCAGACCTCCTCTGGGGTGACATCGGCCCCGTAGGTATGCTACTTAGCCTCTCCCCCGGTAAAAGCTCATGGCTCATGATGGCTAAGAATACCAACCACCCTGTGACCATCCAGACGCCCCTTGATGGATATGGTCTCTCTCGGCTGTCCGTAAACTTCATGACAAGTCGTTGCTTGTTCGTGTTTTGTCAGCCAACTTGAAAATGCATCTGCACGGCTCTAGTATGAGCTATGTTTACGTAATTAGCCGACATTCTACATACGTTTAACGACGTGACAGATTTATACGTGATCACACCGTTATTCACGCGTGCAATCAATACATATCAGTGCATTTCTGATGCTATTTGCCCATTTAATATTTCATTGCATCATTTTATCAGACAATAAATGATACGAAATATACGGGTGCTTGATCGAGTTTTTTGTGGGGTTAAATCTGAGGGTGACTTCTTGGCCTGACGGTCTTTTAAAAATGATTTTCTAAGTTGTTCAATGACATGTTCATCTCCAGCTATTCTTCTTCTTTTAAGAACGTATTGTTATTTGAACAGACGTCTGTGACCTCCAATCCCCTATCTATTTATTAAATCTATTATACTTCATTGCTTTATCTTAACTGTTACATATCTAAAGATGTAGAATAAATAAACGACACAAAGCTACGTAAATGAGAAGTTATTTCTACTTAAGTTAGCTCGGGACATTAATCGTTTGCAAATCTGGCAACGTTTATTGATGAAGACACTCAGTTTGAGGTCATACAATTAAAATTCATTATTGTGAAATAACTGAATTATTTAAGCTGTCTCTGCCCTGAATAATTCTATAATGTCACACAACACGGTTTAGAGAAACATATTCCGATATGCTGTGTTTCCTCGTAGTTAGAAAGTGGATGGTCGATCGTCTGCAAAAAGGGGAGGAGGCAACCTATGTTCTCGCGCAAATGCAGAAATACGTGTTTACTATGTGGATCAAAGTGATTTTGTACTTGGTGTTTGGACAAGGCCGAATCAATTACCGACTTGGTGCCAAGTCTAGGTAATCCAGGGTTTACCAGGGAAAGAGCGGGCGGGGCGACGTGGAAACACCACAGGCCCATTTGTTGGATGTGATCTTAGTGTAAACAGGCATGAAAGCCAAACAGATGGAGGAATTTCAGTTAAAATAACGCTCATACACTACTTTGCTTTGCTGTACGCGACTTCCTCGTTTTGACAAGCGTAATTCACAGCACACTGTGAGTCTACTTAAAGAATTCAGAAATTCTGTACGATCAACTACATGAATATAAATAGAAAATGAAATAAGCAAGTTAGAAGACTCAAAATTGTTTACATCGCGCGACGTACCGCAGAGGGTGTAGGACCTGAAAGAGAGCCCCTCGAAATCAGGAACTACCGTGATACAATTTTGCTATTACTTTGATTATAGGAATGTAACAAATTGTAACAATTGCAACAATTTATCAACTTCAGTTTTACTTTAAAACCGTACAGGGCCCATTTAAAAGACGTCAAAGAACCACGTCAGTGACTCAACCGGGGGAGGAAAAGGTGCGACTAAACTTTGACCCCTCTCTCTAGAAAATTGGAATTTGGGGGGGGGGTAGAGTGGAGCAGTCACTATGCTATCTGCGGTGCGTTGATATGCGTTACTTTGGTGTATACAAAGACCTATATATAACAAAGCTTCTTGAAAGAGCCGTCTGTAGTAAGCCTATCTTAGAACACTAGCAATGCTTGAATGTAATCCTTGGCACTCTTGGACCACCATACTTGTGTGACCTATAGACAATGTGTATGCTGTTGAGCAATGAGACTGTAGAGATGTGTATGTAACATGCAGGTATCGACGCATTCGGCCCTGAGGGGGACCAAGCAGAGGGCGCAATTTTCACTTCGTCGGTTCCCGAACGAGTATGCCTTGCAGTCGCGTCGCTACTAACCAAATGGACCTTCAAACCAACGTCGAATTGGCAGGTATTTCCAATGCCAGCCTAATTGTAATTTTATTATAGTGGTATAAAATCAGTCAATCAAAATGACGATTATATCCATATTGTTAAAGATCGGGAAAAGTAAACGATAACAGTACCAATATATAAATCAAGAGATAATTGTAGAGTAAAAAAGACAAAAATAGAAAAGTAAAGGGAAAACCAATATGGGGGCTTTTCAAGAAGTGGGGAGGCTTGTATTGAAAAGCCCTGGACAAAACCAACTTTACAGAGAGACTAACATTAGTGCCCAAGCACAGTATTGTCAGAGATGCGACCACCGGTCCACACCATAGATCATAATAATGGTGTTATACAATCCTGGCCAAAATTGCTGGGACACGTATAAATAGACATACGTGCGAAGCCCTCCCCAGGTCCCCCGATCCCCCGCTCAGCCTGTTATCATCTCGAGCTGGAGTGCAGGTCGTGCATCGAGACAGTCCAGATATTACATCATAACAAATCTCTTAACCCCAAAGGACCGTTGGTTAGAATACCCCTAGACATTTTCCCCGATAGGGTAAATAGAAGTGTGTGGTGGTAACTATCCCAGCCAACTCTCAAATAATTTTAAAGTAAATTTTCTGGTCATTGTGAAAACTTGGACTGCTCTGGGTGTGATCAGTATTGCCAAAATGCTCAAGACGTGCAGAAATAGGTGCACTGAACTAATTCAAACTCCATTCAAAATCAACAAAGTTCGGAGCCCCATTGCGGGCGACGAAATCCCTGAAGCCTCTCAAACAAAAAACAGGGTGTTGTTTGGTCCTGTGGATTTTACTTAATTTTCAAATTTGAGCAGGATAGCCAATAATTTTTTAAATTATCCGCCTCAAACAAATTCACCCCAACAACATTTTGGTCTGCTTTGCCCCAAGATGGGAGCCCCTGAATCTACAAAGATGATCCCGGACCAATACTTAATCCAACAATTTGGGCCAAAATTGTTGAGACAAGTGTCGACAGCCACACCCTTCCCGTGTTGAACAGACCAGGGCCCATGATGCACAACACTGACCGGAGATGGAGGTGGGAGGTCTGGTCAATGTTTTGAGATTTGGCTGAGATAGTTACCACCACACGCCTCTGTTTTCCACCGGGATGCACCCCTCAACCATACGACTATCGTATCGTCTTCTCAGAAAAATCGATCCTCCGAGGGCGCCTCGTATCTACGGTATTATTATGTTTGAAGGTTATTCTGGACGAAAAACAACTCATTTAAAACCACGTTTAAGTTTATATGTAAAGAGCTACATTTTGAAAGCACAGCTACAGATTAACCCATGGCTTCGGATGGATAACTGTCAATTGTTGGGCTTTCATTCGTGATGGTGCACAACCGACCCCCGATATACTGCTTACGTGTAGAAATCCGAACCGCTAGTCTTGGGTTTAAGTGAAATTATTTTTTTTCCTTTGTTGGTCGAAGTTTTACGGCCACTCCAAAGACGGTGTTCATCATGCCGCTTTCATGCACGGCAACAAGGGAAATATGGAATGGTCAGTACTTGTATTTGGTTTTTAGAATTTTTTTTTCGAAATGACAAGTAGGCCTACATATTGGCAGTATTCTGAGTTCGAAAAGGGGACATACTTGACTGAGTAATGGTAAAGTTTTGCCGTGCCATTTTTGTAACTGGAATTCCAATATTAAACTAATGGCCAATGACGCACAGATTAACTAAAATGGCAACATTAATCAGATCAAAATTAAATCTAACGTGGTCTACCGTGGGGGGGGGGGCTGAATGGGCTGTGCGCTCTTTGCGCTGAGCAAGGGGGGGTCAAAACAGAAAGCTTGACTGATTTGACATGCCTTGCATTCTCGATGTCATTTTCTGTTGTTGAAATTCCAGTAGCCAGGGATTGTTCGTGTCTTTTGAGTTGATTTTTATCATTTTCCTGCCACCTCTGGATTACTGTCGGATCACCAATAACAAACATTCACTGTGTACCTCACAGCTATCATACTGAGATCACACAGAAGAAACGGACCCAAACATGGTCAGGATCGGTTTCACTATAAAAAATTTAGGAAATTAAGATTATAAATGAAAACAATTCAGCATCAATCCTTCTGCTGACTGTATTCATACCTGAAAAAAATTGCCTTGTGGGTTCTGAGCCCAGGGAAATGAAAAAAAAAATGTGTTGAGGGAAAAATC